CAACAGCACCAGCAGCAGCACCAGCAGCAGCACCAGCAGCAGCAACAGCAACAGCAACAGCAACAGCAACAGCAACAGCAGCAACAGCAACAGCAACTGCAACCGCAACCGCAACCGCAACAGCAACAGTAACCGCAACAGTAACCGCAACAGTAACCGCAACAGCCACCGCCACGCCACCGCCACCGCCACAGCCACAGCCACGGCAACGGCAACGGCAACCGCAACTGCAACCGCAACCGCAAACACCACTGCCGCTACCGCTACCGCTATTGCTACTGCTATTGCCTACTTGAAGTACCGAGGCAAGGCGCCAGCCACCTCAGCTGCACCCGTGATTTCGTGTCAAGTACTAATTTTGGGATGCTGCGTTTTGATTGCCAAACTGGTAGGAGAAAGTCCTGGAAGTTACGGTCCTGCGCAGACACGGTGCTGCCGGGAAGGCCCGGCTCCGAACCGTGGGGCTTCTAGTGTCATTGTGTAGTTGCGTGCGCAGACCTGCAAAGCCCCACCTGACCGACCGCCTACTTACGTACAGTGTATTCGTATACCCAACAAAACATTTTGCAGTAGCACATGTGTACTTGTTTGCCTATAAGGTTGTGCTGTGAAGTCACGCGCGCATTCTGTGTGTGTGTGTGACTGTGGCGAAACATGGGACCCGACTGCACAGCGATACGTGTTGAAGCAAGTCGTTGAGCGGCTCCATCTTCAAGTGACTTGAATCGCACATCCTTTCCGTGCCTTTGCTTCTCGACAGCCACCGAGGTCGCTTGTGCCTGGCGCACAGAAGATAACACGGCGAAGGCGGGTGGCTCGCAGAGTCATGTCTAACGCTGAAGCTCAATGTTGGGTTTCCTTGCACTGGTCCAGTCTCAGCCTTGGGATGCCAGTTGCAATCTAAGTTGCAGAGGCTGCCCTGTGGGTTAGTGCAACCTAGGGAAAATAACCCAAAACGCTGAACCTTCAGTCGGTCCCAAGCCGCACAAAAGACCTCGAACCGCTTCTTACAGAGGCCGGGACGCACTACGCTGCTGGCAATGGCGTGCTCGAGCCAGACCCCCAAGACACACACCGGGTTCTGTTATGGTTGCATGTGTTTGTGCAGGGTGTTAAATGACATGAGGCCCGGTTGCAGAGGGTCCCCAAGGGTTTTTGTTGTCCGTACCTTTGATTGGTACCTCACATGTTGCTTGTGCCACTGCGACTTGAGGTTTGAGCACGGTCAGATGGTGGCAAAACTTCCGCTGACCGTCCTCCCCGCTGGTCGGTACCAGCCCCGCACTCATGTTCATGTCATCAGAAAGGCACAAAAAAGAAACACTCACATAATCTCACATCGGCACTAGAGCTGAACCTTTCAGCTCACGATGGTTGGTCATCAACGAGAGGGATGTTATCCGGTCGTAGTTGCGAGATATCCCACAACCTACGTTTCTGGTGATGAGACCCGTTCTGACAGTGACTGTCTTATTCATACCAGCTGCGTCTATTCTACCTTCAACCATGGTTCTTGTTAAGGTTCTGCCTCATTTCTCTGCATGTGAACAAGCACAATGTTAGAGCAAGATGCGCGCTGCAGCTTTGCTCCGGCGAGCCTTCCTCTTTTCCTTCGATCACTTGCAACTCTTCGCTGCCAGATTCCAAGGCTGTCGAGCACGGTTCGCATCGTACTGTCAAGCATCACTGGCGGTGCGAAGTTCGATGCATCCACCGAAGGCCTCCGCGGGACTGGAAAGCTCGGCACGGTGTAGCAGCGTAGCATTCTGCAGGACCGTTGCCTACTGCAAAGTAAACATCATTCGAGGGAAGCTTTGGGCTAGTGGATTTGCTCCGAAGTCCGTGAGATTTGGAGTTGCACCAGAACCGGCGGTCTTAAAGTTGAGCTCCATGAGGGAAAGCAGGTACCGTTTCAACCCTTTCTCCCACACCCTACACCGCCCTACACCGCCCTACACCGCCCTACACCGCCCTACACCGCCCTATACCCTCACCTTGGAGCTCCAAGCTCAGGTGGACGCGATCTGTGCATGGCCACAGTGGTAATCCAGCCGGACCCTGCCGTACAGGCATCCTTAGTTCAGAATAGTGATGGTGGTATCACAAGTACAATTACATCAGACTAGAGCTGGTATTAATACTCGCAAAAATCGAAGAACAGAAGAACGCTGGCGTTAGTAATGCTTCAGCAACACCCCAAGGATAGCAGACTACTCGTTTGTACAATATGGTGCCCAGGGCCTGAAAGTACGCAAGCAGCCGTCGGCTGCAAAGCTTCGAAAAGTGGAGAACCGAATCAATTCACGAAGTGTCAAACAGTGGACAACTGCATGGATTTTCGACTTTAAGTAGACTTTTCGTGCGCTGGTACGTTCTTCAAAGTTTGCGGTACATGTCGGGCTTTTCGACATGTTGCCTTTTCGGGGACTTTTCGACTTTGGGGTGCTTATGCTTTTCGAGCTTTCTGGGACTTTGCGCTCTCCCAGCATCGTTTGCTCCTGGAGAAACAAGAGCCATGGAAGCCCGCACCACGCCGTCTCGTGTGCCCGCATCCTTCGGTCAGCGCGATCCGTTGTAAATTCCGACAGAGTGGCCTCACCTTGGTCTGAATTTGACAACCTTCTCGGTGATCGTCCGATGGCACGGCACGCGCGGTGCCGTAATGTTTCATGTACCGAATTGACAACGCTCTCGCACAGCGTCCACAGGTTGTCGCGATCCATTGCTATTTATTCCAACACATTGGCCTCAAGGTGGTCTTGAATTGATGTAGCCCTCTCGGCGATGTGTCCTGAAGCTGTGAGTGGGGTCCGAGTTGAGTTTGTCCTCGTCCGCTGAAGCCGGCGGCAGGGTGGCTGAGCACGACG